ACAAAATTCAGAAACAATGCAGACAAAAAACACAGTTGTAGACACAAATTCCATGTGTTTCAATATCACAAAAATCAGAGACTTAACATAGGATGAAAAGAATACTTGAACATTTTCTTGTCTTTCATCTTCAATATGTTGAAATGCAAAATTGTTTGTCTTCAAGCACACACCAAAAATGTTTTATTATAGATTGTAGTTTTTAAAAGTAGAAACCACATTCCTTGTGTAAAAACTATTTTTGCACAAATACACCTTTCACAGAAGAATTTCAAACTGTGGAACAAAATGTGCAAAAACTTTCATAATCTTGGTTCATTGGAAGAAAAACATGATTGTTTTTGTTCTTTTGTGTGAAAGTAAAATGAGGAATTATTTTGATCTCTTGCCATGAACATGAACAAGAGGTTAGTTTGTCATCAATTATTTACAGCTACAATACTGTAGCAAAGGTAAACTTCCATCTTCTGCAGATACCTTTTTTCTTTAGTCTCAGGAATAAACCACTTATTTTCTTGGGTCTGAGGGATCTCAGTAGTACAGAAAAAGAATTAGTTCACAGCTGGAGCCATTTATTTCAAAAATTCAAGGAGAGTCCAGGGCAGAAATGCTCCAGATTTGTCCTAGAGGCTGCATACGTGTCTGCAAGCTCAGCCTCTCACCTGTGGCAGCAATAGGGGCAAAATCCTTCTAGTCCATCATCCAATTGAACTATTATCCTTATCTGTCCTGTCACCTCTGTGACCATGGCAGTCTACCATAGAGCTCCTAAGCATGTAGGCAAAAGTGGTGAGTGATGGCCAGGAACAATAAGGAGCTCTCCACCAAGCTGTTGTGGCACTGGGGAGTTGCGGGGGGGGGGGGGGGGGGGGGGGGGGGGGGGGGGATGATCCTGATCCATCTCCTTTTACCTGTAAAGGAAAAAAGGGGATGGAGGTGCAGACCTATGTAAACAGTAGATCAGTTCACTTTTGTGGCAGTCTGCTCTCCACATCCATCCCAAAATGCAGTGTTGTTCTGGAGTTTTAGAGAAACGCTAGCATTCTCCGACAATGGTTCGGCCTGGTTCCCTCCACATTAAAGACCAGAAGTCCCTGAACAGCAACTGAACATTCAGTTTCAACTTCTGGTCCACCTTGGTTTACAAAAGTATATCTGAATTTGGGATATAAAGGTTTTATTTAACTTGTAACAATGGAAAATACTTAAAGCTATATGTAACAAGTGTAGTTTGAAAGATCCCAGTCTTTTCCAGTTTGAAGTCCTGGAGTATGTTGTTGAATTGGGTGTGTGATCCTGCTTCTCATCTAAACCACTTTTCCAAACCAATACACTCTGTCTCCCTTTCCAGCAGAGAAGCCCAGTTACCAAGTCTCTATCAGACACACACACACATGCAAACACATATATTGAAATGTAAGCAGAAGAATCTAAAATAGCTAAAACAGCATTTATTTCATTATTGACTGAACAGACTTTTAATCACTAGCAGAGTAATAACTAGTTTCACTGCTGGCTTTTCATCAGTCAGTGATTATTCAAGTATATCTCAAATCAGAACGATCCTACCAACACCAGAGAAAAGAATGCCTTTTTCATATATTACTGCTTTTAATGTATATTTGTAGTGTGTATATGTGTGCCAACAAGGAAAAGGAGCAGTACTGAGTAGTACTGGGGAGACAATGGCAAATAAAGTTTTAGCAATAATTGTGATAAGGTTTTTGCATGAACAAAGGCTGCAATACTGGAAATCTTCTGGAAGTGTAATAGGGAAGACAGAAGTCCACACTGTCTAGCACTTTGGAAAACAATGCAATTTCAGTGGAAGAGGATCCTCATGTGATGAGGCACAAAGATCTGCAACACCAGCACATAACAGATATGGATGGAATTGCATCAGCAGCACTTTTAGTATTGCAGCATTATAAAACATGCTGTTTCAGGATTCTAGTTTGATCATTGAAGTAAATGTTTCAGTATGCTATTCTATACACACTTACCTGGGAATGAGTCGTATTTTATTCCTTAGCGCTTACATCTGAATAGACTTAGAATCATAGAATAATAAAATTGGAAGAGTCCACATGGGCCATCTAGTCAAACCCCCTGCCATGCAGGAAAAGCACATTCAAAGTATCCTTGATAGATGGCTATCCAGCCTCTGTTTAAAAGTTTCCAAGAAAGGAGCTTACACCACACTCCAAGGAAAAGAGTTGCACTGTTGAACAGTTCATATGGTCAGGAAGTTTTTCCTAATGCTCAGGTGGAATCTCCTTTCCTGTAATTTGAATCCATTGCTCCTAGTCCGAGTTTCAAGGGCAGCAGAAAACAAGCCTTTTCCCTCATGACATCCTTTACATATTTATACATGGCTATCATGTCTCCTCTCAACCTTCTCTTCTGCAGGCTAAACTTGTATAACAAAGACAGACTGTAAATATTACAGGAAAGGATTATTAGCATTAATGACAGTTGCTTATAGCTATACTTTGGCTGATTTTATAGGCTCTCACCCACAACTGTCTGGCCCAGAAAAGAACACTTAGACTTTGTTCAGTATTTTGTTGCTCATCCAAAAAGTGTACTCTGGTGGCAACCAACTGTGCTAGTTCTTTCTCTAGGGCATTATACCTTCTGGATGTTTTTGAACAGTTTCTCCCAGACTTTCCCACCATGGGCTATGGTGGCTATGGCTGCGGGAATTTGTAGTCCCCAAATCTTCTTGATTAGGGCTTCTTAAACCTTTTCCACTTGCAACCACTTTTCATCTGAGAAATGTTTCTGTGACCCCAGGCATATAAAATAGGCATACAATATTTTTTTTAAAAAAAAATCAGATGGTTAAATGCATATATACAGAGGGCCAACCGTATCCCAGGAATAAAAAATTACTGCCTGTCTAACTCCCAAGTACATAAAAACCAAACTCCTGAAGCAAAATACAGTGGTCCCTAACTATCTGCTGGGGTTTGGTTCCAGGACATTCCATGGATACTCGATTCTCATCATATACAAGGGTGTAGTAAAATGCTGTCCCTTATATAAAATAGTAACCCCTCTCTCTTCAGATATTCAATACTTTATTTATAACCCACCCTATCTTCCCGAGGGGACTTGGGGCGGTTTCCAGCGAAGGTAAAAAAATATCAAACATTCACTACCAAAAACAACAAATAACAAATCAAAACAGAGGATAAAACTATCTTAATATAAATTATAAAACAACTGAAAAATAACCAAGCATTAAAAATAAATAGACATAACATAACACATCACCTTCATTTACAACATAATAAACTCTTAAAAGTTCAACAGAAAGATATTAAAAGATAAGATGATTTCCAACATACAACGAGCAGAGGTAGGTGTCCAATATATATAGGCGAGGATATGTAGATGTACTAGTCCTCCTCTTCTCCGTAAGCTAAAGTGCAAAGGTGGGGTTTTAAAAGCTTTTTAAAGGAGAGGAAAGAGGGGACCATATTTAATTCTTTAGGGAGGGAGTTCCAGAGGCGGAGAGCAATCACAGAGAAGCTCCTCCCTCTCTATCATATATATATGATATATATTCATTCATGTTGTGGATGGTTGGACCCATTGATATTCCAAGCCAAGCTGTGCAGGAATATTAAGGTACAATTTTTAAAATAAAAAAAATCAGAATTTCGTCAAGCATGCAAGTTGGGGAGAAGGAAGTAGCAGTGCATTTCCTCCAAGCAAATAGTTGGGGAGAAGGAAGGGCAGGGAATGTCTGGAGGGACTGGCAGGGATTTTCTTCTCCTCCTCCTTCTTTAATCTTACTTACCTTCCCTGCCTTTCCTTGACCTGCATCACCCTCCTCCTCCTCCATTGTCAGGCTGGTTTATTTCTCTCTCAACCATCCACATGGCTATTTGTCTTAGCTAGGCCTTTTCCCTTCCCACAGCAGCTTGGGCTCCACTTCTTCTTCTAGCCCTTCAACAGCAGAAGCACCTCCCCCTACCCTGCATGGGGGAAAACCTTCTGTGACTCTCACCATTTGGAGTCCCAACCCACAGCTTAAGAAGCTTTGCTCTAAAAGACTGCTGTTCCTGACTTGTGCTCTAGGTTGACATAGATTTTTGGTCCAGGGATTAAGTTAGTGAGGGTACATGAAATGAAGGCAAAATGATTAGGATGGTCAGGATTCTTTTTAACACTTGAATAATAACCAGTACATGGCAGTAGGAGTTGGTCATGAAAAGCACACATGAGTCTTTGCAAATAGCAAATGATATCGTCCCACATGGTTCTCTTCCCATGCTTGGAAAAATCATGTTTTGCATTACAACACCAGGAATCCTTCAGCAAACATGGCCAACTACTGTTCTAGATTTGATTCATTCTTTAGACATGGGGATCTTGTACTCTAGAAAGGATGAACAATCATCAAATATAATTTGATTAATGATATGATGGTCCTTATTTCAATTGTGTGTTTAAAAAGACATTACAACTATACCTTCAGTTCACTTCTGATATGATAAATAAATAATCATATCATTTTTCATTAAAGATTACATCCCACCTTAGGGGTTCCTTCTGGCATAACTTTCATAAGAGAATTCCTTTCTTTGGGAACTCCTACCTCGTCTTCTTATTGGTTTAAAAAACTTCCCAAAGTATGTTTCTCTGAGTCACAACTGGATATAAATAATAGTAAACAAACCACTTAATAATCATTTGTCTCTTTTAAAAAAGAACAAATTTTATGTATGATTGAAGTTTGTACAACACTTCAGAAAAGCCATCATGTGTTAGATTCAAAAATAAAATCAGAAGCATTTATATATATATATATATAAGTACACATGAAAATCTGAAAATGAGCCTGGCTTTAAAAGCCTTTAAAAGTGTATGACCAGCTTTGTACTGATACCCACTTAACAAAGCAGAAATAAAGATACCATACTGTGTAGTAAACAAAAGAGTACAGTAAATAACATTTTGAAATTTACACAAGAATTAGTTCATAAACATTTTGGTTGTTCCATAACAGTTTTTTATAAAATGGATGTTTAAAAACCCTTTGACAGCTGTCATCTTTCGTCACTATTTTTTTCCACTTGAATGCACACAGAATATTCTATATAGCAATATACCAGTGTACTGTAACATGGATAATAAATTATGATTATCTTGTTTTAAAAATGAGATGTGTATTTACCCAATTGACATTATTGGTCGTTGAAATACCCATACATTATGTATTCTCATCATGTTGGTAAGTATAAAAACATGAAAATATAACTTTACATTATTTCCTTTATATACACAAGTTCAGGCTTGACAAAGGAATATTTGTACACTACACTTTTAAGAGAAGTAGGCCCAGAGGTACAATCAAATAAACTTCCATGGTATATGCAGGACTGAAATGATCTTTTCTGTCAAATGAAAATTGGCTGGGAGTATTAATACAAATATAGCAGAGTCTCACTTATCAAACATTTGCTCATCCAACATCCTGCATTATCCAGTGTTGTCTGTCTCCCACCCGGATCCACAGCTGTTTCAGTACATTGCGATGTTTTGGTGCTAAATTCATAAATATTGTAATTACTACATAACATTACTGTGTATTGAACTGCTTTTTTGACAACTTGTTGTAAAACATGATGTTTTGGTACTTTGTAAAATCATAACATAATTTGACATTTAATAAGCTCTTCCTTAATCCATCCTTATTATCCAACATTTTCGCTTATCCACCGTTCTGCCAGCTAGTTTATGTTGGATAAGCGAGACTCTACTGTATTGCCATATTTGGCCACTGAAAGAATGAACCATATTCATATCCAGTGTTGTCACTTGCCCTCATTTTCCTGATTAGTCATTGTCAGGGCAAAGATAGATTATATTGGCATACTCCTGAGAAAAAAGGAAGGTACAATGAAATAAGAAGTTAGCATAACTTCCACAACTATTGAGTTCTGTGCGCATGAGTGTGAATGATGAATCCTACATAAGCCCATACCCCAAAAGAAGGGATTTAAAATCTCCAATAAATTTACAGTGTAGCATTTTTCTTACTAATGTTACAAAGAGATCGACATCCATGGTTGAGGAAAACCCAAGTAAAGGAAAAGATCTTTTAGTCACATTGCACCATTTAGTCTTTATCAGAAGAATGAAGTAATAGAAATCATTCAAATAGAATGCCTTTTTGCGTTTTCAGGAATGTAGCAGCACCACTCTTTTGGAGTAACATTTCCTTTGCTAGTAGATCTGTGTACCTGAAACTATTCTATTGAAAAGGTGGGCTGGTTCATGATATTAGAAAAGCACTCACTGTAAATATTACTCATTTAAATCCATTTATTGTTACAAATACAGTAATTGTATTTCAAAACTTAGGATTATTATGAAAATTAACATAGAGGAACATTGTCAAGGTTTTATCCCCTGAAAATAGGATTTGTCACCTGATCCCAGAAGCTTTAAATAGCGCTCTTCTTAACATTTCTTTGAGATAATAGAAAGCAAAGGCAAGAATGGGATATTACTCAAAAAGTAATTATTACTATGTTCAGATAGTCCTGTGATAAGGAAAGTAATTCGGATCTGGCACATTGTTTATTTAAATGTCATACTCCTGGTTTTAGTGCAGCACATCTCCAAATTTTTTAAAGCTTTTGTCATGTCTTTCAAAAAGAACATTTTAAACATACTGTTTGCATGATTTCCAGTAGACAAAGCTATTTCCCACATTCAAATAATCTTAAAATAAGATGGAGGTGATCATTGTGTGTACAAGCAAATGGATGTACACTAGCTTTCCAGGGTGTTTATAAAGTGCAGAAAGTAATTGCGCATTTTGTCAAACTGAAGATGTAAAACAAAGAGCAACACTCTATGCAGGGTTCAAATAAAACATATCAATTTATGAAGGATATTAAGAGTAATAGGGGTTTTCCCAACAACCTTGACAGTGTCCTTAACATTTTAAATATCTTATAACGAAACGTGGCTAGCAAAATTAACTGGACCACTTGAAAATAAAAACATAGAAAAAAGTTTATTTCAAATGTCAAGCATTGCCAAACAATTTGATATTAACACCAAATGTTAAAGAATAGGAGATTAAGTAAATTTTAAGAACAATATTAAATTACAAGATTTTTAACTTTTATTTCTTTATTCTCCTCACCAGCATTTACATATTTGGCTTTGAAAAAACATGAAACTAATGTCTAAATCTTGTTGCTGTTGTTGTTTTTGTTGTTGTTTTTGTTGTTGTTGTTGTTGTTGTTAAATCTCCATTTTCCTGCAGTTTAAATTTCTGTTTCACCGACCATTATGGAAGCGAATTTATTTAAAAGCCAGTTTGTTTGTGAAAATACCTAAAAATATTTTTTTCCATTTTTAAATGTTTTGTTTCTTATAAAACATGTCACATCTTGATGCAATTGATGTCAAGTGTGCTTAAGTCAGTATGAACCAGAGAACTGACAACGGTGACTGCAGAAACTGGTGTGT